TTTTTTTTTTTTTTTTTTTTTTAAGTCATAATATCTATATGAGCATTGCTAGCATTTTAATTGACTTCTCCAACTCATTTACAATTCATGATGAGAAAACAAAGGAAATCATCACCATGAAGAAGGTTTGGAAATGCGATCTTAATTGTCATAACATTGGGTGAACTTTTGCTTCGATTTTTTTCCAAGAATCATCAATAGTCTGAGAAGCGACCGGAAGCTAAATCCAACATTTGAAAGAGTGAGTGTTTCATTCCTCGAAGTTTGTTTGAAAAAACTCTGCTGTGCCTCGTTTTTTCAACCACTTCTCGATGTTTGGAAATGGGATGAAACACTTTTCCTCGTGTTTGATGTATTACTTCTCTGTGTTATGTAACACAAACAATACATCGAGCTTTACACTCCTTGAGTCTGATTACCTAACCGTATGACAGTGTTTTGTTTGCCTTGTTTCAGTTTTTTTCAGTTAAAATATTTCGCTAAAAGAAGGCTAGTTCACGTATTATATTTCTTGTAAATGATATCTTATGTAGACAATGTCAGAGGCAATTCCGAGAAAAACAATTCCGAGAACGTGCTCTGTTTCTTATTTGAATACCAGGCTCAATTGTTCCATAACGCTTATCTCAATACCATATTTCGTTTGTGGAAATGAAAGAAATTATATTCCCCCTGGAAAAGAGTTCATAGACCTAAGGGTTTCGCACTTTGTGATGTATATTTTTCACATTTTTCCCTCCATATTCTGGGATGTTTTAAGGTGGCTCTGAGCCCCTCTCATCATTTTCTTTAACACTTTGTGAACAATTACTCCTTGACATGCTAATTATAATTTCAGATCAGAAATCGTCGCTTTAATTTTTTTTCCGAGTTGAAATCATTTATGGCTAAATTTAAGGGCTGTTTTTAAAAGGTTATTTTGTTACTTCCTAACTTCTTCAGTAAAAGAAAACATGACCATAAATTAAAGGAAATAACTCCACAGAGTTCGATCAAGGTTAAACAAAATTTTCATAAGAGAACCAGGCAATGCATGCTATCGGTTAACTAACAGAAAAGAAAAAGATTATGTCGTTGTATTGATGGAAGCATGTTCCCTGCTTGTGACGAAAAAAAAATGGCATGAGACAGTCAGGAGCAGAGTTGTAATTCGGGAAAAATAAGGAGGCAAACAAAGACAAGCCGATTTATTTGGAAAGTGAAATTCCCAGAAAATGAGGAGGACGGGCGCATTGATATTTGCTCTGTGCCTTGTGCGAAATTTTAGAAAAGCAATGTTCAAGTTTATCCAAATAGATTTGTATGCTTTCAAAGAATAAGTGGCCGCTCAGTGAAACCTACAAAACTAAAACTCATAAACCTTGAAATCAAGAGCTCGAGAGTTAAATGTTTGGTTGTAAGGTTGTAGAATATTGTTTGGTTTCCGCCCACAATTCTGATTTCGAAAGTTTGTTCAGTGGTAGAGAACAGGAAAACAGCTGCGGTATTTCCAGCTATGTTTTGATGCACCGTCTATGAAACAAACGAAGGGAAGAAAAACACAAAACGCTTTTGATCGAAAGTTGAAATTCTCAGAAAGAGAGGAAGGCAAAACTGTCACAGCAAGTGGCTTACTTTGATCCAGTAAAGGTCCGGTAATACGGGCAACATTTTTCTTCAACTTGTATCGCAACGTTGTTGCACTGCAAGTTGAAACCCTCTGTTGCGCGTATTACCACGTTTGTGGCCAACTTGTCTCGCAGCAAAATACAGTCCACAGGTTTAATTGCTTAAGCGTGTGTAAATAAAGATGGCGCCTTCTTTAATATAATTTAGCATTTCAACAAAGTTCCACTTCGACTACTGGCCGTCATTTTCTTCTTAATTTTCCGTGCCAGCGAAGTTCTCTCAGTATGAAGCTCAGTGTCGTTTCAGGTAGCTAGGCGAAAAGTTGTATTTTTGCGACGGTTCTTCCAAGTCTTTTGCCTTTTTTCCGGCTTGTTTTGATAGGGGCAAACGAGGTGTCCCAAAGACTATGATAGCCCTCGAGATCTTTGTACAGGACAAATTTATGACTTTCCGAGAGTTATTGGTCTACTTCGAATTCAGGCTCGCCTTCCCCGTCCGCTGTTTTTTTTTTGTTTTGTTTTTTTCATTTGCCGCGCTTCGCGACAGCCAATCACAAGCGTTGAATTCAAATTCGTTGCGAGACAAGTTGTAGTTTCAGTGATAATACGAGCAGCAAAACTAAAATTTGTTGCAGAAAGTAGAACTCGAGTCTACTTTGCGCAACATGTTGCCTCAACTTGCAACACTGTATTTTGCTGCGAGACAAGTTGGTCGCAACCGTGGTAATACGTGCAACAATATGTTTCAACTTGCAATGCAACAATGTTGCGAGACAAGTTGAAGAAAAATGTTGCCCGTATTACCGGATCTTAAGTCGAGAGTCCGCAGTCCTTATATAGAAAATCTATTGTTTAATCGCTTACCTTATTTGGAAAAACCTTCTTCAATCGGTATTAGGCTTTGTCAATTGTAGTTTCTGTTATAGTTACCCGCAATCGAAGGGGATCAGATTTTTCCCCTTTTGTCACGGCCGGTGTTGAATGTTTCGGTAAAAATGAGCAACTGTTAAAAACGAGAGATCATTCTGCTTCAATACATCACCATAACGTTTATTTAGCTTGTGGTGTCGTGTTTATGAGACACAGCATGTGCGTAAGTTGTGAACACAAATGAATAGAATAAAGGAGTTCCAGTATGATCACATATGGCTTACTTTTAAATCAATCGAAAAATTTCAATTTCTGATACATCTCTTAAGAGAAAGAAAAAGACTCTTGCCTAAATCAATGTAATCGCAGTTTATCTCAGACAAAATAGTTTATTCACCTTTAATAGGGAAACTGTTGTCAGTCACATTAAGTGATCATATATTTGCTTTCAGTTTGTAGATTCCAACATGAATGTGCCAGCGTGGGCGTTGTCAAATTTGTGCATTGGTCGGTCATACGACGCAAACGACAATAAAGCAGGCTTGGATATTTTTCATCCTGACATTCCCATTAAAACTGAAAACGTAAACACGTTTTCTTTCCGATACAAAATCGTGAAATCAAATGAAGATGTCAGAGATTTGCTAAACATCTCTGGAGATATTTCGTTGAAGATCAAAGCGAACATTTTCAAAGTGGAAGGAGCAGGGAAGTACATTAGCAACAATAATAACGAAGAGGGAACGACAGAGGTCTTGGCTGTTATGAAATGTACCACGGTGAGTTCTAGTCATTGCCAAACTTGGACGTGGTGTCCTCAATGTTCGTCTTCTATGCACGGTCAGAGAGAGAAATCAAGAATTAAAGGCCATCTCCAGCTTTTCTGCCATGAAACTGCGCTTTTTATCATTATGTTGAATACTATAACAATTATCCTGCTCAGTCTTGCAGAATTTTTGGCGATTTTACACCCTTGTTTACTAATATCAGGCGATATTTCTAGCGATTTCGCAGGGTGGCTGTTAATTATCCTCCCTTTTTAGTAGGAAAATCTTGATATGACGTTATAAATGGTGTTAGTAAGTTATGTCATTCACTTTTGTTGATAATATTTTCTTGACTATAAATAAAATCACTGTTTTTCTCTAGGTGAATAAAACAATGGATGGATCAGCAACTGTAAGAAAGGAAATGGAAAATGCTACAAGCCTTGGCACCCATTATGTGAGAAGCGTGACATATGGCGCCGAAATGATAGCGAGCCTCAAATTCAGATCATTGTCTTCTAAACAAAGGTGAAAAACCGCAAACGTAGTTTTATCTTAAACATTATGAGTTAATCGAAAATCATATCCTGGTCTGTTTAATGACGGTGTATCTGATTACCTCCTTATTTGTTTGGAAAAGGTTGTGGCAGGGTGTAGTCGTTTGAATAGCTGTCACGGAAAAACATTCTGCACCGTCGCTTTACTTTTACCAGTTTACTTGAACTGTGTGCTTTAACCAAACATTTTCTTCCAACGTTTGGTGGCTAAACTGACACACAATGTTCGACCAAACTTTAAACAAAGTGAGCCCACATTGCGCTTTTTACGCATTACTGTTGAAGTTATGATATGACTAGCTTCGACGTCACACAAGATCCATTTCTGATCGGTGGCTTTTTCTCACTCGGTGGTGGCTAAACGATCAAACATATGTTCTTAGGGTAAAATTTTGGATGAAAACGTTTGAGCTAAATCGACATGGGAAACCATTTTTGCATGAAATTATGTGATACTGAGGGAGGCGGCCCAACGATCAAACATGTTCTTCTCGCATAATTTTGGTTGAAAATGGTTTGGATCGTTTAGCTGGGCCTTAACATAACAATTTTCATTGCGATGTTATAGATCGACACTAAGTGGTAAATATGATGGAGGACTGGGCATTGAAGGACCAATCAATGCCGGTTTAGAGTTTCAGTTAAAGAAGCTATCTTCCGAGTGCGATAATGCCAGCGATTTGAATATCGAGTATTATGCTACAGACATGCCAGACAAGAATCCAACCAACTTGGAAGACCTGGTGAAACTCATTCAGGAGTTTCCCTCTAGATTAGCAAAAATTAATGAAGGACAGGGAGTCCCCATTCAGGTATTTGTTTATTTTTTTAATTTGATTTATCATTATAAGTTATCGTTTTTTCTAATTTAACCCATGACACAAAATGGAAACGTATTAAGAGTTGGTAGATTTCCACTCCATCGTCTCAGGTAATACCAAGGCGTCTAACTGATAGTACTGCTTAAAACCGGCTGAGCATCTCTTTGTGTAATCGTATTCACGAACTTACAACGTTGGACCTGGGCAACGAGGCCAGATAGTTATAACTCGAGATCTTTTCTCGGATATTAATTTTTGACTACCACTTTAACCAATAGAGTACTACTTCTCCACTTTCCTTTTTTGAACAGATTGAGCTTCAATCAATAGCAAACGTTTTTCCAGCTCTAAAGCACGACCGCAACGTCAGAGCGTTAGAATGTGACATCAGTGAGGTGGAAAGCCGCTATGATGATCTGCGCCAGGCAAAGGATCTCGTGCAAAGATACCAAGATGCTGAGAGAGATTTAGACCAGGATATGAGAAAATTCAACTCACAAATCACCAAGACCCTACGTACGTTTCGCGCTGCCATCTCTACTTTGGATGCAAAAAAAGTGGAAACATGTCTAGAGGCTTACGCGAACTCGCTGGACGGAAATGACGAGGAAGGAAAATTTGTACGACACTGGAAAGGCAAACTGAAGTCAATGGTTCGTAATTAAAGCTTACCAAAATAGTTTCTCTTACCCGTATATCCATCACTCAGTTCCTGGAGCCCTCCAGTCGCACTATCTCGCTCCCATTAAAGTATGACTGATCAACACAACCCTGTCAAGGCAAAGAGAGTACACCATAAGGCTAACCTTTGGCTCCCTAATAAAATAAGGACGCTTATTATCAAATGTGACAGGGCGAATTAAAAGCCAGCGAATCTAATGATTCCAAGCCATAATCAGGATGTAAAGCCCCAAGAAAATGATAGATATAAAGAAAGATTTACTACAAACGTTAGTTTTTCTGATAACCGTGGCAATCCTAAAGGAATTTGGAAGACGCTCAACGCAATGGAAACCAAAAACCTGCTTCCATTTAGGAAATCTGCATGGGTAGATGACATATGTTATATCAGCGATCAAGAAAAAGGCCGATTTTCTCAACAGACACTTTATCAGCATTGGCGCTAACCTACCCTCGCCAATTCCAGCCAAACACGACTAAATCTTTTCGCGAGTTTGTTTACCATACTTATAATATCGATTTCAATTTGCCAGAAATCTGATCATGTCTAAGTCTCCTCAAAACCTCAGTCAAAAATAAATTCTCAATTTCTAGCGCTCATGTTCTCTGTGATTGGAAAATGGTAAAAGTCTTCCCTCTTCACAATTAGGCAACTTTAAAACAAATTGACAAAAAATATGAGCTTTTGACGGCGATTTTAAGCTCACTCGCCAAGATTTGCAGTCAACCATGTTCATATATCGTCGAGTAAAATTTATTGAATAAATACCATTCAAGTTTCCAACCAACATACTCAACAACGGAAGCATTAGTACACGCTTCTAATCAATGGTTTTTTCAACTTTGACAAGGGGCTAACCGCTTGTCACCGCTGTTGTCTCCCTTTATTTTTCCAAGGCTCTTGATACAATTGAAGGGCTAGGAGCATCTCAGACTGAGCTTTGTTGTTTTAACACAGATCAGTTAGAGTTTTTGCCTGTAGCCTTGACTCGTTCAGGAAACGTTGCTTTATTGTTTTATCTGCAAATTTGCGCTTCGTTTCCAATAAAAACCGATGGCTGTAAGTAATATTTCCGTTTTACTTATCCCAAAACGAAGCGCGAGGTAGCGGATGAAACGTTTGAGGAACTTTTCTTGAAGGAATTCAAGGTCAGATGCAAAAACTTCGGAAAATCGATCGGAACTAGAGCAGCAAAACCCGATCTACTATGTACTTGAGTCGGTTATACTCCCAGCTCTTTAACTGATCTCAATATTTTAAGCGATTACATTCCCTATTCATTGTTTATATTATGCCCCACTAGTCGGCAACAAAGTTGTGAAGTTAGTAAGTTTTCCCTCAAAGGCAAAGCATATTTCTTGTGGTGTGCCCCCAGGACCAATGTTACGGCCTTTGCTCTTAATTTTGCTTATTTACATAAATGATCTCCGCATGCTTGTCGATGATTCAGATTTAGAAATAACTCGCCATACTGTTTTCTTGATTTACAAAATAGATTTAAAAATGAATTAGAAAGAATTGAGCAATGGCTCCCTGCCAATAAGTTGTGCTTAAATATGATTAAGACTAAGATTTTACTAGTTTCCTTTGGAAAAAAGATGCACAACTAACGTTTCCCCTAAGAATCAAATTGACTTTTTATGCGATAAAGAAGTTAAAGCCACCAGATCTTTATGTACTTATATTGACGAGAATTTGTCCGGAGCGATCCACATTGACCACCTAGATAATATTTAAAAACGCAATACGCCGTCCTATGTCCTTTGCTTGTAATATATGCAAAGATGCTTGTGCTTATTTTTAATCTTTGCACCTGTTCTAGTTCTAGCCCTTCAGTTCTATAACCCTTTTGCCCAAAGCTCAACTTTTATAATTTGTTACATTTACAGATACCATCAACAAACATCAAGGCAAGTATACATGTATATATATTTTTTTATCTATAAGCTCTTAATCAGGCTGAAATCAGCGAGATGATAAAGATGTAAAAGAAAACTAAAATATAAAACATATGTAAAACTGCATCACCCTTTTTAAGTTATACCAAACCTTAAAACTGTACATTTCATTAGAAAAGCTAAGTTACTATGTACTAAATATAACATGAGCGACCGTATTGTACTGGATATACAATGTCGAGCCGAAGGCGAGACATTTTATATCCAGTACAACACGGGTGCGAATATTGCATTGTACTTATGAAATGAAAAGCACGCTTTCATTTGCCCTCCCAAAGAAATTCGCATGGGATGATGATGAGTAGGGAATGCTAAACTCATTCGCTAGTGATTGGGAACTTGGGAGGATCTTGTTTTCGAAGGCCGAAAAAGACAGACGAAGAAGCGGCTTGGTTGCAAGAGACTACTCCCTGAAATACAAGAAATAGTGCAAAATGAAGTGTAAAGACATTGTTTTGCTTTAATGCGGAGGTTTTGGTTTTTTGTGTGAGCTGATACAGAATGTTAATAAATCTATTAGTATTCTGTATGAAGTTCATACAGAATAGTAATAAGCTAATTAGTATTCTGTATCAAATTGATACAGAATACTTATTTGTATTGGGTTTACAGTGATATTCAGGTGACTCAAATTGCATTTTTGAATTGGCTTAATTCTTCATGAATTGGTACTGAATTTTATGAGTAAATGAATTATTAGGTGTGCCAAGAAGCCCTTAACTTAAGCAATAACCTAGACTTATAGGCAACTAGCCGCAAAAAAAAAAAAGTCTAAAAAAGGCCGAGGGCAGATCAGAGCGAACAGGAACCCTGCGAGATTGTTTCGATATCCTTTGTTTGCTTTTAGTTTTGTATCTAGCAGCTAGGTTTTTTATCGGGAAGATATCAGAAATATGGAGTAACTAACACGTTGAGACCAAGAAAGGGTTAACTGTACGATTCTTTCAACACGCATCCCTGATGAAAATATTTCTGAGGGAAACTAGTTTTCACGACTGGAAATGGTAAAACAGTCAGACGTGATGACCTCTACATGACGAGGCAATCGCCCTTGCAACATGGCCACGTAAGTTCAGTTTTTAACATTTGGAACTGACGCAAAATTGGCGGGATTCGTATTAGGCCATCAGAGTACAATAGTGATTCCGGATATATCACCCCCAAATTGCACTGAGATACTGCGTTTTGGCAAGTGGTCATTTTTTACTATCCTCTTTTGGAATATTTAAGCAAATCCTACACTTTGGAAACGTTGTACGCCATCACTTAAGGATTCTATCAGTCTCACTGCTTTGGACAAACGGGATTACCAAAATTCTTGTGGGCGACTAACCACGAACAATAACAAAGCATTAGAAATTCACTTTTCTCTGGGGAACTGGTTATGACACACCTTTATCTATTTTATTATCTTCCAGCTACCTAGTGGAAAAGAACTCACTGTAGTTCTCCTGGGAAAGACTGGCAACGGAAAAAGTGCAACAGGGAACAGAATCATTGGGAGAACTCACTTTCAATCATCCCCAGACGCTTCATCAGTCACCAAGAAATGCCGGTACGGCAGCAGAACGGGAGAGCGGGACATGAATGTAATAGACACTCCGGGTGTTTTAGATACCTCTTCAGTACAACGTATGAAAGGGGTAAATATTTTAAAGGGCAAGGTATTTCAAAGCGACCACCGAAAAGCCCAAGACTTAATTTTGAGAGAATTGTGCAAGGTTTTTGGGATGGCACCGCAAGGTTTTGATGCAATCGTATTAGTGGTGAAGTATGGAGCCAGATTCACAAACGAAGATGAGCAAGCGTTGAATCTTCTTCAAACCTTTCTGGGGAACGAATCCAAAGAGTACATGATTCTTATTCTCACGTGGGGCGACCAGGCCGTACATCATGCTAAAGAGAAAGGGGTAAGCCTGGACGAATGGATTAAAACCTGGATATCCAAACTGCCACCTTGGGTTCTAAAGTTTCTCGCTGAAATAAAGGATCGAGTGGTGCTGTTCGACAACTGCCTGAAGGAAGACGAGAATCCAGAGGCATTTAAAATACAGCTGTGCAAACTTATTGAGGTAAACGTTAATGTATACAAATAATGTGTCATAACGCAACTATCATTCCATAGACTTGCGGGATGTTGCTAGACCAGAGTACCACGTCAATGTTCACTATATTATAGTCAGTAAAATAAATGTCTTGTTCACATTGGAATTGGACATTACCCCTTGATATACCAAATTAAGGTGTGAGCCCCAGTATGATAGATGATTGTTAAGATTGCTGTTTCGGCCTTGTATTCCCTCAAGAAACACCTGCTCATGGCTGCTTTTTCTTGGGTTCTTCATTTAATTTTGTCGATTCACTGGTAGTGCCCAATACCAACATTTTCTAGAGTTGTAGACTGCAAAACAAGAATTTGCGAAACAAAAATAATAAATCCATCAACTACTCTCGCTTGACTACTATCGGTGTGTCACGAAAATAAACTCTTCAAGAGCAAACTGAGACATATCAGATGATGGTGATAATATTTCTTGCATTGTATCAACAAGTCCGAGTCTTCCCCTTAACGTGCATCACTTTGACGAAAAACATTGTTTAAAATATTCAATATTCAAAATAAAAGAGCGTTTGCTATTGCTGCAGACAAGAGCATCAACTGGTATTTGTCTACGACAGAAAGTGGACAAAACAAAAATTCTTTAATTTCGCAATCGCTTTAAGCGGAAGTTATTTAAAACGGCTTTCAATGAAAAACTCCCACCCAGCTTACTCGCATCCTTCGTATCGTATTGTTTTAAGTATTTGTGTTTGTTCGATATAGTGCTACGAGGCGTCTGTTTGACTATTTTAGCCGAGAATCAAATTTTGTCATATAAAGCAAAATGGGACGAGATTAGAAATAAACTTCAATGTAAAGAACGAACACGGACCGAAAAACTGAACTTAAAAGACTGCTCTGAAGTTAGCAGTATTAAGCTTAAGTTAATTAAACAGCGTGTAAACACTGCACGGAAAACAAATATCTATATCTATTTGCCGTTATGTTCTATTGTTTTTAATATTTGCGTTTGTTCTCTGTCAAAATTGTCACAAATAAATGCTACAAAAAGAGACGTATGAGACAAGATTAGGAAATAAAACTCTAAGGAAAATAATGAACAATGAACGAAGAACTCAGCTCAAAAGACTTCTCTGAACAGTAGCAGTATTAAGTTAAACGGCGTGCCAACACTGCGCAAGAAAAACAACATCTTGCAAAACAGCAAACCAGCAAAGTTTGTCAACAAAATCACGAATACTTGCCTCTTTGGAGAATAATCAGTCCTTTTACTTCATTGCTGACTTTTTCGTTCAGTTTCCAACGTCAAATGAACGTAAAGTTAACTTCAAGAGGAAAAATCCAACGTTTCGTCGTTCCAGCCGGATCGGAGTAAAACAATTTCACCTCAAGATTGGGCTGGTATTTGCTATAAACGTATTTATGATGTGCTGCCTATTTAAGAGTCCATTTGCCTCTCCGCCGCTGGTAGTCGTCTCGCTCTTTCTCCCGCTGGTGGTCATAAATTGCCTTTGGGTTTTGTTGCCTTCAAAATTTCGTTTTGTTTACCCTGAACGCAGCCGGTTCGCAATGTAACTTCCCAGCAAACAAACGCGGGCAGCAACACAGCTTCACAAACTTGAGTATGGCATTTCGCGCTTGGCTTACAGGAGGGGGCGGACGTACGAACGGACGGTCTGACGGAAGTGACGTCATAACCTAACCAAAATTTCTCACCTTCATGGGTCTTAATTTCCCTTACCTTTGGGGCGCCCCCTGCTCGCTGTCGGCGCGCGGAGTTCCTCTATCACTTCACATACTTCTAACAATGCATCTATTTTGGAAGAAATAAGGCGTGGGAACGGTACTTCACTGTCAACCCATGCGCATTAAATTGGTTAGGCCTGATTGCTAGGCGATGAATGATATTTCCTTAACTATTCCTTTTACATTTCATAATAAAAGAACTGCAACACTCTTGGCAAATTAGTCAAATTTGCCACTCTTGGCAAATTAGCAAATTAAATAAATCCTGGTTTCCTTGTTGTAATTATTAGGTTATCGACACAATGAATGAAGGAAAGAGTCCCTTTGTCCACAACTTGACTAAAGCTTCTCAAGAAGTTCTAGAGGGGCGAATTCAGAAAGCTTTAGACTCCAGTGGGTTTGCAGAGGATCTTACACACCTGAAAGAAGAAAAGGAAGCTGTTGAATCACAGCTCAGTGAAAATATCGCCAGTGAGCAGGATCGAGAAGCATTGGAAGACCGTCTCCAGGGAATCAGTGACAAAATTGATGTGAAACAAAAGGAGATAGACGCTTTAAAAGAAACACTAAGGACAGAGCAAGTAAAAGACGCTGAAACGGAGTCTGGGGGAGACACGACAAAGAAGATCAGCGACAGTGCCAAAGGTGGGATCTGTGTAATAATTTGAAGAACGACTGGAATAACTCTTCCTGGTCTGCCGAGAGACTTTTTTCTTATTTTTAACCTTGATATTGTTTGTTTAATTTGATTATTGCCATTTATCAGTGTATACCAATGGTAAAGATGCATGGTTAAGTTGAAGAAAAATATGAAGTGGGACACTACTGTGTCCCGCTTCACACCCAGCCTTCTAGCGAAGTATAATCTTTAAGTCGGAAAGAAAACTACCAACGAGGAATTCTTGTTCACTGGTTTAGACCATCAGGAGTTATAACATAATAAAAGTAATAAAAACGCGCGCTCTGAGCTGATTGGTCAATTACTATTTGCCCAGGTACGACGAAAACACTGACGCGTGCGCCGGGAAAAAAATACCTGTTTCCTCAAACTGCAATAACGACCGACCAGTCTACGCTTAAATTTCTTCACAGCTCTATGGAAAGATTTAGAAATGCCATATGTTTTAATCCGTTAGCGGGTATTTTGCCCGAGCCACCTACAAAGCGATTCGCAAGCCTAAGTGAAAGCCAGCTCGACAAGTTAGTGGGCGAGAGGCATCCAAAGAACACAAGATTTACAAAATGTTCTGGTTATGTTATAAAACAAATGATAAACGGTTCAGCGTGTACTATCGATTTATAGTTGCTCTTGGGAGGTTTGCTAAGCACTTAAGAAAATAGAGTCGCACTCGGCTATCTCCGGTAGTACACGCTCAAATGTTTACTACTTATTAAGTAGTAGAGTGGTTTTGATTGAGTTTCGTCAAACCAAAACCAAAGTAACTGGTCAGACCAATTCAGCACCATTTACGTAAAACAGTACAACGAACCAATCTCACAGGATCACGTGTGACCGAGAGACGACTCATTTGAATTTGGCTTCCCACTGGTTGAGAAAATGACGCGAATTTTAATAGGGCGTTCACCAAGAGAAGTGACTCAAAACCAAAGCAGAGGCGAAATCACTTCAGCCACTCAATTAAAAAGTGCTCTGAAATGAACGTTTGATTGTCGAATTTCCTTTGGTTTTTGCTTATTTCATGCAGGAATTTACTTATTTTCTTTGCGTCAGAATTAACAACAATGAATAACACCTAACGGTAAGAAAGGACACTTATCGTGTATCTTGTGGTTTGAACATTTCGCTAACCAGCTTGATTTCTTTCTCAGCTGGTATCACATCCATTACTATAATGGGGAAAGAAAGAAATGAAGAAGCCCTTTCGTTTCAAAAACTTTAAACTAAAAAAAGTTGAGGCTTAAACAACTTCAACTTCAGCTTCAACTTCTTTATTATTTTGCACCATTTACGTAAAACACAAATACTAAATACATAGGAGTTTTACAGAAAATTATATACAACATAATACGGCCGGAAAACAACTTAAAACAGGAATGTGCGCGATAACCAGAGTAGCTATGGGCTTTCGAGCTGGTTAACGCCATGTTGAAACTAGATGCGGCAACTAATAACTTTATACTGTAGACAAAATTACAATCATTTAATTACAGATCAATTGTAGAGATATATTATCACTTTAAACAGACACATTAAATTACAGACATAGATATTACACTGAAAAGTAAAAATTTATAAGCTATTTTTGAGTGTTCAAGAGGTACTGCTTTTTAAAGGAGTTTTATGATAGATTTTTTAAATGAAGAGGAACTAATTCCCATATTTTCGATGTAGAAAACTGGAATTTTGATTGTCCATGTCTAGTTGATGTGGTTATTCTATAGAAGTTTCGATTTGATGCATATCTGGTGTTATGGTTATGGATTTCCGTTACTGGTGTAAGAGTACTAGAAAAAGCAGTCGGAATACTTCTTATATCATTTTTAATTTTATGAGCCAAGAGTGCCATCTTCCTCTCATAGGTATTACTTAATTCTAAAATTTCAAGTAAGGAGTTATAAATTTTAGTACTTTCCCTTTTATTAGAAGAGAATAAACATAACACGTAAAGCTTGTGTAGCATACTAGAAACAACAGTATTCTTAAAAATAGTTTATATAGTTAAGCAAAAGTGACAGAGAAATTCAACAATGCATGTGGCAAAACTTGTGTCCTGACGGCATATCAATTCACATTGTCTTTTGCCGATAAGGTCTGTTCACAGAGGACTACACAATGTGTTGCACTTGAGTTTTAATAATAACAATAATAAGAAAATGTCATACAGGAAATGAAACATGTTCTCCTGGACAAAAATAAAATTTCGTTCGCAAACAAGCCTCCAACTTTGGAACACGGTGTTGATATATTCCCAGGTACGAATAAAAGACAGTTAAAATCAAAGACTCCCTGAGCCAGCTCATGGATGAATAGTTGACTTTGCCTCTATGGCAAAACCAGTCTTTGTGCAAAACTATTTGGATGAAAATGTATGTCACCTGTACGTTCATTCTCATGAAAATCAACTCATTTTCATGTGAAATGTTTTGCACAAGCATTCGTTCTAAAAGAGGCAAACAGCAACTCAGAAGTGGAAGTAAAGTCTGCATATGAGCCACGTGGCCCATCAGGCCTACACTTATCATGGTTTCTGTAGCATATAGCGTCTAGGAGTATTTCTACTACCCCCTGGATGGGATGCTTGTCCATTGCGAGGTTAACCCGGCAACATTAAATTTGCCAGTACCTATTTATACACCTGAGTGGAAAGTAGCACTGTGCGAGTAGAGTGTCTCGCCCAAGAACACAATACAATATTCTCAGCAAGGACTTGAGCCCAGACTGCTCGAATTTGAAAAGAAACACAAAAATTAAATGACAGGTTGTTTACACAGACTGCTTATATATTTTAAAATGGATAATAATTAGTTTTGGTTGGAATCAGTGCTCGAAATTAGCGGTTGTCTTCTAGTCCGAGACAACCAAAAAGTCTACCGGGCAACCAATTTTTGACAAAATCAATAGGCTGGTTAATCAAGGAAAAATCAACGGACAACCCAGCTAAAAATAGAAAATAAATTCATCATAAACAGCACCCGACTTACGTGACGCTTTTGTATTGTCAATGTCCCATAGTGTGAAGTTAATAATAATTAGTTTGCCTCAGCCAAGCGTTTTCCTGTGTTTTGGACATCTATAAAATTTATAAAACATTGCCAGGTACGAAAATGTGAGAGAAACACAAAGTTTCATGTCTGGTGGCGCTCAAGATCAAAGACGCCATTTTGAATCTGCCACAACTCAAACCCAGACTTCTGCGAAAACCATTGGTGTACACTAGGAACTATGGGATTAGTTCAAGCTTGACCACCATGTGATTCTACATGGCATGTAAATAAAGGTAGGATTGTTACAATAATTGTTCTCAAATTCTTTATTTCTTTACTAAGGAGACAAATATGGATGTGTTTTTGAGTAGTGCACTTACTGGTAAATGTGTAGGTTTTTCTAATGGGCAACCAAGGATTCATCAGGGCAACCAAATTCATGGGTTTGGTTGCCCGACTTCTGAAATAGGGACAACCTGGATTGTTTTTTAATTTCGAGCACTGTGGAATTGGAACATTGTCATTATATTAACTTGTACTTGATGTAGTGTCAAAGAATAACAACAGTCTGTTCTGCGGCCCAAAAAAAGTGCACCTTTGGTCAACTATAGGGAGAAGTCTCCCAGCTTGGTGCAATACAATAATAAGGGTACTACATATTGTAGTGTGTGCAAGTAAAATAACAATTATTTTCCTTCTTGGAAACAAAAATCATGGTATTTTATTCCTATATATATCTTAATAATTGTTTGTGCTAATCTCACTACAAATACAGTACAAATATTCAAAAGGATTGCAGATGTGTCTCTTCTAATAGATTTTTTGCAATGATTACAGAACATACTCATATTGACAAGTATCAAGCATTCTCTTCTCCATAATTCAAGTTTGGATTTCAACTTGTTTAAATCTCTCATTTCTAGGAGCAAAAAAAAAAAAAAACACCCTAAGTCACCAGCCACCATGCGTCCGGCTTATGTTTGACACAATTTTACAGTGTATCTTTCTCGAAAAAAATAGATCTACACAGTCTCTTGGACTTCCAGCCATCACTAAAATATTTCAGTGTACATTTACTCAATCGTATATGTAGGTTGACTTGCATATCATCTGTGAAGAAATGTCCACTCTGGTCGAACTGCATGCAATACAAAAAAATCTAGTGTGAACGATAAAAAAACTAAAAGGTAAGGCAACTCGAAATTTTTTCCCCTAAGTATTTAAAAACAAGCTTACAAATTTCGGAACTTGCGATACTGACACAGGCAGAATTTCAATGTGTGTATACAAAATAAAACAATAAAGAAACCATGAAACCAAAATTTAACAAGAATTTAAGCCTACCTTGGACTCCACAAGGAGAGAAAGCGAGTGGAAACCATCATATTCTCTTGCTAAGAAAAAAAAGCTAATCACGATCTCACTTTTTACGAAAGAAAATCACCTGAAACCAAAATGGCCGACTTCAATATCTTCGAGGTGCTCGAAAAACTCGTACCCAGGCTCTCGATTTATCGGTCAAAAATGTACGCCTTTCTAGTCCTCCTGGCCCTCGTCAAAAAAACCATCCCGACAATCCTGACGATCGAACACTCTTGGACACAAACAAGACTTAGCAGGGGAGGTAGGAGAAAATTGTCGCATTCCTATTGCGTATAATTTCACACGTGATTAGCGCGCGCGCATTAAAAAATGGTGGCTTTTTGCTCATGGATGTTATGTAATAACTAAAATAATCGAAGAAAGACAGAATCAAGTGCAGTACACATTAATTGAGTCAGAATTTCTGCAAAACTGAGAGCTGATACATACTACGTACGGTTAACTTCACTTCTATTGAAAGTAAGAAACGCACGGATGAAAACCAAGCTGCTCTTAATAGGTTGGATAAAAAAGTGCGAGCCTCAGAATACAAACGAGTCGCACCACATCTTAAATGTCTCTATGCATGGAAACTTTGCAAAGTCCATTACACGTGAAAGTTATTGTAAGAGAGCATACTGTCCGAGCTGTAGTGTCCCGAGGTTATAAACTGCTTAATGGATTAAACCTTTCTCTTTTACCCTGACGAGTTTGAGATCCTTTTCGCTCATGGATGTTATGTAACATCCATGAGCTTAGCAGGCAGTCGGATGGCGCTCATTCACTCACTCCATTCTAATTAATTTATTCATTAAACCTCGATTAAACAATTTTCTCCTACCTCCCCTGCTAAGTATTGTTTTTGTCCAAGAGTTCAGTCGTCTTCGAGAAGGTTCTTTGACGAGGGGGGACTAGAAAGGCGTACATTTTTGTTGGATAAATCGAGAGCCTGGATACGAGTTTGTCGAACACCTCAAAGATTGAAGTCGGACATTTTGGTTTCATGTGATTTTCTTTCGTAAATATGTTGTTTTTTACCCATCGGCTTTTGCTCACACCTAGATGAAAGTTGTTAGAGGTATTTATGACTGTGGCAATGTATCGTTCACAACAACACGGTCGGTGAGGTCAAAGAATTGATACAAGACACCCGGGAAGACAAAGGCAGAAAGTGAGATTGTGATTAGGTTTTTTCTTGGC